CACCTGCTAAGCCAAAAACCCCCAAAAAAAAAAAAAAAAAAAAAAAAAAGACTGCCTGCTTACCTGTTCCCGAGTAGCCAGAGCGGTTTTTCCTGGGAAGTTTTTGCTACAGCCAATGCTTTTGGGTAGTTGCCTGGGTTTAACTGGATCATGTTCAATCCCTCGGCACATGGCATATAGCCACGACCTAATAAGACCAGCAAAAATCTTTAAGGTCAGAGTAAATGATTAGTTAAAACAAGACACCTATTTCATATTATACTTCTACCCTTCCGTAGGAAGGAAAAATGTGCCCCAAACTGTTTCTCTGACAGAACCCCCACCCTTTCTCAGTGAATTTAAGTGTGATATTTTGGCAAGGAAAGCAATACCAGTTCTGCTTTCCAAAGCTAAGTCATCACTTGCATTTTTGGAAAAGTGCCAAGCAATGTATGTACCCAAGTTTTTTGGTGCTTACTGAGGCCTCTGACACAAAGAAATATCAGAATCTTGGTACACATAATGATGTAACAGAATACAGTCAGGGTTCACAGTATCTGCTTTTAAAAAATTAATTATTTAATTTTATTTATTATTATTTTTAATTTAACCAGAGACAGACAGAGAGAGAGAGAAGGAAAGTGAAAAAGCAAGCCACCAGGTCCAGGACTTGAACCGCAGTCGACCATGTGGGAGTCCGCCTTAAGCACCAAACTTCCTACTGGCCCCACAATATCTATTAACCACTCAGGTACATGGAAAAACTACTCTACACTAATAGGCCATAGTGACCTAATAGTTTAATGCAAGAAAGACCAGTGAAATTGCCATAAGAAATATATATTAACTTAAAGATGGATCTGAATTTTACTGAACACTTTTGTCTGTATTTGAAGTTAATATCTCTATAAAGTTTATCATTGAAAAATAATAAGAATCACTTACCCATTCTTCTCCCCAAAATGACTCTGGAGCTGCGATTCAGTGAACTGGGTGAGTTCACCCATGTATTCTACCCCTAGGATTTCAATGACTGAGGCCCCCAGCTTTCCTCCGAGACTACGGCTGGTAACAAAGGAGTCAGAGAGTTTATAGGTCACATGATAAATAACTCATTAGCAGCAAACATAAGACATTCTGCTCCTCTAAGGAGCTCTCCAAAAGGTTCAAGCATGTATTGGTCTTACAGACTGTCAGTTTTCCAGCATGAGACTAGATGATTCTGGGAATTCAGACTCTGTAGGAGTGAGATCCTGGGAAGATTAACAATAGCATACGCCAGGTTCTGAAGCGGTGGTGCAAGCAGGAAGGCACTGCTGTGCAGTGCTAAGGCCACACAAGAGGCTCTGCTCATTCCTGGCCCAGCCAGGCTAGGGGTGGTGGCGAATGCCTGAACTCACAGCTCACTCTCTTCTTTCAACCCCCTCCTCCTCCTCTGCCTGCATTACTTTCAACTGTACAACACTTACTGTCCTATCTGGGGATTAAAATTCCAAACCCTAGACAAATCTCTTCCATGGCTACAACCTTTTATACGTAATAATATGGTCAAAATTCTTCAGCCTGGCCTTTGAGACTCCCAATGATCTATTCTTAACCTATCTTTTCAATCTATTTCCATTACTTAATCTCCTCAGTACGGTCCAGCTAAACTAGTTTATATCCCAGTTCACTGAAAACACCTTATACTGTTTTCCCTTTGTGCTAAAATCTTCTCCAGATCACCCGGGAACCAGCAGTTAGCGTAATGGCTATGTCGCTGGACATCCACGTAGTCGACCGCGGTTCGCGTCCCAGACCCGGTGGCTTAAAACTCACGCCGGGTGTGTGTGCATGCGTGCCCAAGATCTCGAGAAGAGAATGGAGGAGAAGGGATTGCGGCGTGACCATCCCCCCTGGGGGGGTGATGTCTCACTTTCTGTCTCTCTCTGTCTGTCTGGTGAGCACACGCACCCTATAGTGAAAACCTCTCAAAAAAAAAAACACAACAAAAAACTTCTCCAGATCACTGTTATTCTTGCCCAACTCCAAACTGGCAAGCCTCAGAACAAAAATCCCAAGCCTTGTCTGTAAATCGAGAAGGATTCATTTCTTTTGTGAACTTCGATAACTACCTGCACAATTCATTTAGCAATTACTCACGGTAATTAGCATCATTTAGCATGCGGTCTTGTGACAGCACTTCAACTGTTGCTTTGATGTGCTATTGTATCTTGTCCCTTTTAAGCCCTTGCCAAACACGTGCAACTGATAAGCACGACCTAGTTATTAATTTGATGTGGCTTCTCTCATGCCCAGCTGGGGAGCAACTCAGCAGTTCTGGACGCCCTGATCTGATACTTAATAAAAGAAGGAAATTTCCTATTTATTTGTTACTGAACAATGAACTTGAGTGAAAAGTCTAGAGAGGGGACCAGCAGTTGGTGTAATGGCTATGTCCGTGGACTCCCAGGTAGTCAACTACGGTTTGAGTCCTGGACCCAGTGGCTTAAGCTCATGCCAGGTGCATGTGCGTGCGTGCCCAAGAGCCAGAGAGGAGAAGGGATTGCGGCATGGCCATCCCCCCTGGGGGGTGATTTCTCACTTTCTGTCTCTGTCTTTCTGGCCAGCACACGCACCCTATAGCAAAAACCTCTCCAAAACAAAATAAATAAATAAATAAATACTAAATAAAAAAAAAAAAGTCTAGAGAGAAGTTAACTATTTAGCTAGAAATCTGTTCAGGATTAAATATCTGCTACCAGATAACCCAGAAATGAAGGTCATTAAAAAAAACAAGTCTCGGTGTGTTTTCCAAAATTTTCTGTGCTGTCTCTCCTCTAATTGCCTGGTACCTAATCGGTACCTAATCTCCCTGGCTGTACTCCTTAATAAGGACTGGGACAAACTACAACCTGAGAGTACCTTCACAGGGCTATGAGTGAACTCTGAGGTGCTCCTCCTGAATACTTACATTTTGCAGATAGGCATTTGGCTGAAGAGCTGTGGGACTGACCCCAATGAGACCAGGGTCTGGCGGTTGGGCTTGTTTAGTCCACAGGCCAGTTTTGCCAAGACCTGGAAGCATAGAAAGTACAAAAACCTCATTATGGGGACCAGCAGGTGGCATGGTGGTTAAGGCGCTGGACACTCCCACGTGGCAGACCATGGTTCATGTCCCTGAACTGGTGGCTTGCTTTCTCACTTTCCCTCTCTTTCTGGTCAAATTAAAACAAACAAATGAATAAATAAATAAAATTAAATAAGTAATTCTTTAAAAAAACAAAACAAAACAAAACAAAAAACCTCATTACTGTCCGTCCACCTCCACAGAGCTGGTGAATATTAAACTACCACACACACACACACAGACAGGTACAAGTTAAGGGCTGTAACTAATGGTTTCCACACTGAAAACAATAAAACAGAAATTAAAGACATCTCTGACACGTGATGTCCAGCAGTATTCCCAGTGGGAAACGTGACCTATCATCACCCGCGTTGCTTTGTGCACAACTCTCAATCCATTTTCCTCTAATCGTCCCCCTCCCCCGTCTATTCAAGATTCTCCCACGAGAGATTGAGAAAGAAAAGCTGCAGATGAATTCAAGTATTATGAGTTTCTTAGTCCATATGATAATGCTGAAACAGACTTACTTTATAATATCCCATTTATTTACATTTCTTTTTTTTCCCTTTAAATTTATTTTTTCACATTAATTCACTATACATCATTACAGCATACAAAATGAATTTTCCACCCAAAATACACTGTATATTGGCTCAATCAAGCACATGGAGGGACCAGCAGTTAGCTGGCTATGTCGCTGGACTCCCACGTAGTCGACCACAGTTCACGTCCTGGACCCGGTGGCTTAAAACTCACGCCAGTATCTGTTATAGATAGAGAGAGACAGACAGAAAGCGAGAAATCACCCCCCAGGGGGTATGGTCACACCGCAATCCCTTCTCCTCCATTCTCCTCTGGGATCTTGGGCGCGCCCCTGGCGTGATTTAAGCCCACCGGGTCCGACACGCGAACCGCGGTCAACTACATGGGAGTCCAGCAACATAGCCATTACACTAATTGCTGGTCTCCCTGAAAATTTTTTAAAATTAATTTACATTTATTCCCTGAGCATCATCACAACATACTAAATGTGGTTTCCCATCTAGAATAAACTGCAAGGGGTTTAATCATGCATGTTATCAATAATATTCCATTTCTACTTTCATATATGTGTGTGTATACATATATATATGCATGTATATATATCCATATGTGTGTGTGTGTGTGTGTGTGTGTGTGTATATATATATGTTTTTTTACCCTATGTCTGACCCTCTACCCTTTTCCACTCTCTTATTACACTATCTCTGCTGTCTACGGTTGTCTTCCATTCCTTCCCCCCCAACATTTTGTTGGTCACACCATATCATAAGTAATCTAACTACTTTCAATACCAAGTTCAGGTGGTGATTTTAAGAAAAGCAGTTTTGAACTGGTAAGGATATTTCCTTGAAACTTAAAGCCTAGAAATAGGTTAGTATCCTGTTCAAATAATAGGTACATGAATCTATTGACAGCTCAAGACAGGACAAAAATCCTTAAAACCGGACAACAAAGCTGAGAAGAAAAGCAGCAATATTTTAGTCAAGTCACAGAATGCTGTTTCATCAGTTCAGTCTCGTGTACTTAATCTTTCTTCTGTTGAGGATCAATCTTCCAGATTGAACTCTGGGATATAATATTCAACTCTAGACTTTGTCCCTACAATTAAGTTGCCCATTTTCTTAGTTTTTGAACTCTTATTTCTGTGTGTCTGCATTTAATTTTACTGACATAGCACTCCCTTAAGTACTTCTTGGAGATCTGGTCTGGTGCTGGTAAATTCTTTCAGGTTTTGTTTATCTGGGAATGTTCGTGTCTTTTCTTCCCAAATGAATG